TTGTATAGTGGCATTAAGTACCGTTATGTTATGTTATGTTATGTTCATTTCATATTTCAAGAAATCGTAACCGTAATATCAAATTGACGAGAGAAGATCTGAACCGAACATAATGTCTCCATACGCAAACCATGGTTCATTGGACAGCACAATGATCCACAATAAATGACAATGCAAGAAAGCGGAAATATTTTATATAATTTTATTATATACCATCATTGTAAACGCTTCGATGCACGAGAAAATTTCACATGATTTATAACTCGTGATGTGGAGACAAATGGAAGGAGTTGACTGAATACTGATGAATTGTGAGTGTTGGTAATACAGTTTAAGATCAATGATATTTATATTTAAAGTGTTAAATTAACTGACAAGTTTGTAGAACGCCAGAATTACCCGCTTCTATTTCTCTATCAACTTTCGTCATTATGATTACGAATTTCGAATGCGAGAATTTGAGTTGTTTTAATTAACGCCATCTAACATTTATGACGTGAACTATCTCGTTCTTAAATCATTGAACACTGTTGACTGAAGATAGTAAAAAGTAGATAGAAATTTACCATTGTATAGAATGTATTGTCTGACTCGTTGACCAAGTGGTTGCAAACTTGCAAGTGCGACTGCTGGGCAAGGGGCCTCGAGTTCGATTCCCGGGTGAGGCAAAGTATTACTAGGTTTTTTAAAAAAAATCTTAGTAGTAGCACGGAGTCTGGAATTGTGCCCGGTATATGGCAATATGCTCATCCCCTATTCATAGGACTCATAACATAAGTAGTGAAAAGTGGGTGTTACATTGCACAGTGACATTAAGTGCATGAGCACTTCCGCCTTCCCATTCAGGGGTAAAATATGTGATGTTATGTGTATTGTCTTAATTAAAAATCTTCTAAAATAGTTAGCATGTATTACAATACATGCTAAAAGTAAAAGTAGTAGTAGAGATACATCTCTACTACTACTTTTACGTCTACTTCATCGGAAAAAAGACATTGACAACTCAAACAAACACGATAATATCAAAACACAAGCCAAATTGACTAAAAATCCTCACACACAGTGAATAAAGCGTTAACAAAGAGTTGATTTTGATGAATGACATGTCCAACAATTTTCACGAAGCATGGCGCTTCGGTGACGTCATCTGACAGAGTGCTTTGTTGGCCGTCAACAAACACGGAGTTTTTAGACTTTCTATAGCTCATTGTCCATGTTTATTGACAACAGTTCTTTAGGGAAAAACGTTTTTTTTTAGATATTTTTATCGATTTTGTTAATATACGTTTGAGGAAATTCTCTTTGTTGACTTTATATAAGTAGTACGAAAGTTTGTTTGCTAATTTGCTATGTTTTGATAAATTTTGATACATAGACAATAAGTAGATCCTGAAGAAGATTATTTGAAAAAAAAAAGCTTTACTTGGGCCTTCTTTAAAGACTACATAGGTACAAGTTTGTGATCATAGTTACGGGCTAAAGAAAAATGAACTTACCAACTACACTATAAACCAAACCAATAGCCATTAGTCGCTTCTTCAAGAAGTAATCAACCAGTATAGTGCATGATAAATTGTAAATTAGACCAAAACCGAGCCCCTGAAATTGGAAAATATAAACAAGGCATTATGTATGACTGAACCAGAATTTAATTATTTAGAGTCGACTTAATATTACTGGACATTTTATTCTGTTATCTGTATTTGGGCAAAGATAGTAATGTTACGTTATTTATTTTATTAAAGGCTAAGCGTGTAGTCTAGAGTTACAAGTTCACTCATTGCAGTGACTTAAAAAGCAGGCGTTAACAATTAAATGAATATCTAACTATTTAATTATTTTTACGTTAGTGATCTTTTTTTTTTAAATCTTTATTTAATAAGAAGGGCTTTTTTCCGTAGAGGAAAATGTCAGCCCTATTATAGGATACAAAATTCAATACAAAAAATAAAGCAGCTAAACCTTTTGTAGGTTTAACTATCCCTTAAGCTCAAACACAAAATAATTAAACTATACAATTTTCTAGCGTCAGATGACAATGGTGACGCTAAAACACTGTTATAAAAACCAATATTAAGGCTCTTAAAACTAAAAACCTGATTCCTCTGAGACTCAATACGTCGACACTCATACAAAATGTGTTGCACATCCTCTACAACATCACATACAGCACAATTTGGTGATTCGACTTTATGCATCATGAATCCGAAACTATTAAGAGGCATGTGTCCAGATCGGAGCCTTAAAGCTGTGACGATAATATCTTGTCTACTCAACCCGCCTTCACCGAACCAGAGGGCACGAGGAAGCGTCGGTTGTATTGTTTTATACCAAATGCCTTTAGTAAGTGACCTTTTGTCAAAGTATTCTGACCATACTTTATAGCAACTTTCTCTTATTAAAGGCAGAAGTTCAGGATCTTATTAGCAGTAATACACATTTGAAGTGTTTCCTTGATCTGCGCAACATATTTTTTATGTTTCTATTGTAGATTAAATTAAATGAAAATGAATACTAAACAATTTAGATATCTTACCTGTATTATGCTATGGCATATGTGGAAAGTGAACGAGGACTTAACAAACATGATACAAATGACGCCAATGTTGAACAGTATCACCGCAGCCAGCGCCAGCATTCGGAAACTTATGATGTGCAGCAATGGTCTTGTTAGGAAGCCTGAAAATACAAAATATTTTTTTTTGCTCAAAAATATACCAAATCTGTTAGTTTTACATTTGATTTCAATAGGTTTACTAAAAAACTAAGTGTCTAGTTATATAAAGTTTTTTTTTTGTACTAGAATGGTTTTTTCGGCATATCAATAATTTGACAATAGTAGTAGGCACCACAGATTGTACAAAGTTTAAACTATCAAACACCAAGCGGTCACCAGTGACCGCAACCTATTGTTCTATAATTGTGTCTACAAAACCGGTACTCGACGAGTTAAAGAATTGTGTCCGATGTACCATAATTAGCTTACACCCTAATAAATAGGACTCAGAACATAACAGTTTATTAGAAATAAGTGTGACATTCTGCACATGCACTTCTGTCTACCATTTCGAAAATCCAAAGGAATGACTAAGGTATATGTTTTGTTATCTATGTATATGCTTGAATCGACTCTGAAGAACACGAGTTCTAAAGTTAATCCGTAAATGTAAAGAGATTTTATAGGTATGGTTAAATCTCCCTATGTATCTATCAAACGACCTTTTCCGGAGGTAAAACCTCACACTGCTTCGAAATGGTTAAATATTTACCTGCAGTTGCCGTGCAAATTGCACTTAGACCTCGCATCAGTGAGATGTTTGTGGAAGTCGACCCGATTTCTTTGAGCAATTCTTTTAGCAAAAGTTCATAGCTTGATGTAAATGCTGTCGATGTTGACTGAAATGTAGAGAATGACAATTTCAGTAACAACGTTATTATAACAACGTTTAATTAGGATGTTTCTTAATAAGTACATGGTTGATGAGGTGATCTTATACTTCCGTAGGACCTAGATGAATAAAAATAATTTAGTCTAGTTTTTGTAGATTTGACCAGCATTTGATAACAATATTTGTCTGCCTG